GTGTATTGGCTTGTTTTACAACGTCGTTGCCAAGCCACGAAAACCCAACCCCGATGGTAAACACCGGGAGGGGGGAGGGGGCTTGTTTTACAACGTTATTGCCAAGCGACGAAAACCTGACCCCGATGGCAAACACTACGGGTCGGGGGGGGGTAAACTCGGGTTGCGATCTGGTCCTTGAAAATCCGACCACGTTTCCGAGCCGGAACCATGAGTGATGGCGCAACCGCGAAAATACAAGCGTTTGACGCGCTGTGTCACCAAACAATGAAAATTCGTAAGAAGGCAGACATGGGGTTATGATTCGCGGTGGGATTCCCCTCTCGGTGCTAAAAGGATGGCCTACAAGCGGAGTTCGAGGGGATTTCCGACCTTGAAAGGCTTGTCGCGCAGTCCCAACCGAAGCCTAACTCCCTCACTTTGTGACAGCATCACCAACGTAGACTGTCCGACGTGGGTTTCCGTCCTCTCACTATATGACGGTCTAACCCAATCGGATACATGCCGTCGACTAGGCCAATCGTTCTTCATCTCACCCTCTCGGCTTTAGCCTGCTGTGCTCTGTCGGTAGCGTCATCTCTGGCCGCATCGCCGTTGCCGTCGTTGGAGGAGGACTCCATGAGCTTGAGGATTGATTCGAAAACCGGGGAGTAGTCAGTCCAGAATCGGCCTTTATCGTTTCCCTTCGGCCTTTACGAACGGAGGAGTAGGGAAGAACGATCACAGGCGAATACATGGCAGAAGTATCCATACGTGTCCACTCTCGTTGCACTCGATGTACGTGGATAACCGTTGTTAATAGCGTGGGCAAAAGAAGTGCATAACAGCTACAAACTGGTTCTGGCTACCTTCGTTCCCAAAAAAGAAAGTCACATGAGACATTTGGGTCACAGATCGCGACAATGGGAGAGAGGACAACGTGATGACGGTGCCCCACAAGGAGGTCGTGCTAGTGTTCTTTATGTGCCTCACATCAATTCGCCAACATCCCGCGTGCAATAGTCTCAGCAGGTGAGAATACTCGATGATATGGACACCGGAGCCTGTATGTGCCCGACAAGGTGCACGGACATTCGTTATCGTTTACGTCTTCTCGCTGGGACAAATTTATGCGGTGGGCATTGTAGTTGGCACCGTTACCGTGTGCCAAATATGGAGTATCTACGTCAAAATCACTCTATCCCCGGACAGACTTTACGGTTGTAAATGC